AGTGAGTGAGTGAGTGAGTGAGTGAGTGAGTGAGTGAGTGTGTGTGTGTGAGTGTGAGTGAGTGAGTGAGTGAGTGAGTGAGTGAGTGAGTGAGTGAGTGAGTGAGTGAGTGAGTGAGTGAGTGAGTGAGTGAGTGAGTGAGTGAGTGAGTGAGTGAGTGAGTGAGTGAGTGAGTGTGAGAGTGAGTGAGTGAGTGAGTGAGTGAGTGAGTGAGTGCGTGCGTGCGTGAGTGTGTGCGTGAGTGAGTGAGTGAGTGTGAGTGAGTGCGTGAGTGTGAGTGAGTGAGTGAGTGAGTGAGTGAGTGTGTGTGTGAGAGTGTGTGTGTGTGTGTGTGAGTGAGTGAGTGTGTGTCTGTGTGTGTGTGTGTGTGTGTGTGTGTGTGAGTGAGTGAGTGTGTGTCTGTGTGTGTGTGTGTGTGTGTGTGTGTGTGAGTGAGTGAGTGTGTGTCTGTGTGTGTGTGTGTGTGTGTGTGTGTGTGAGTGAGTGAGTGTGTGTCTGTGTGTGTGTGTGTGTGTGTGTGTGTGTGAGTGAGTGAGTGTGTGTCTGTGTGTGTGTGTGTGTGTGTGTGTGTGTGAGTGAGTGAGTGTGTGTCTGTGTGTGTGTGTGTGTGTGTGTGTGTGTGAGTGAGTGAGTGTGTGTCTGTGTGTGTGTGTGTGTGTGTGTGTGTGTGAGTGAGTGAGTGTGTGTCTGTGTGTGTGTGTGTGTGTGTGTGTGTGTGAGTGAGTGAGTGTGTGTCTGTGTGTGTGTGTGTGTGTGTGTGTGTGTGAGTGTGAGTGAGTGTGTGTGTGTGTGTGTGTGTGTGTGAGTCACGTACTCTGTTGTTTCTCTTTCCAGCAGTTGTTCCTGAGGTTGGAGATGTAGTCGTCCTCCACACTGCTCTCCACACGTTTCAGATTCGCGCCGCTGTAGTCCTGAGAGAAACGCTCGTTCACGTAAAACGTCACGGCCAGATTCTCCGTCACGCGCTTGTGTGTGTGACCCGCTGACCTGTGAGACGCACACGAGAAATGAGATATTTTCAGAAGGACGTGATAAGAAAGTAACACACAGAGAGCGAAAACAAGCACACTCTGAACTTGAATACACAATATATTTTTACTTTTATACTAAAGCAATAAGCCCCGAGAAGCCGTGGCTTACAGTGAAATTATAACAGCATTGTTAGGTACGACGCGAAGCGGAGCTAAACCCTCTTAGCTGTTATAAATTCACTGTAAACCACGGCTTCACGGGGATTACTGCTTTTATAAAACGGTTATATACGTAGTAAGGTTTCACAAAATAAAACGGAGCAAATAAAGTGTAATGATATTAATAAACACAGTATTCTTCCACCAAACAATGTAGCTCCTCAGAAACAGTTGTGGTTGCTACAAAGTGGTTGCCGAGCAACACACAAACGTAAACAAAGGTGTGTGTTACTTTGTAGCGTCATTTACAACAGCTTCGAACGCGGCTCAGCCAATCAGAATCAAGCACCGGAACTCTCCGCTTTATAATAGTTATTTTAGTACATCAGTAAAAATTTATTATTTTTATATACTATATATATATTTTTTTTTATTAAAATTTTTATATTATATGTTTTTTAATATATTTTATTTCAAGTAAATGTGTTCATGGTATTAGTTTTAGCTAACGATAATAGCCCTGCTTAGAGAACAGCAGTAAGCTAGAATGTGGTATAAAGTCAGCGGTCAGGGTCAGAGGTCACAGGCTTCATTCATGCACACCGAGTGTGAAGAACAGCTGAGCGACTGTCCATCAGACTTCTAGATGATTCCTCTGCGTGAAGATCATTCAGGGTCAAAGGTTAAGCCCTCTGGTCTCTCTCGACCAATCAGAAGAGATCTCACATGAGTGACAGAATGCATCAGAGTTTCCATTCAAATGAAAATGCAACATAAAATAAATCAAAGGTCAAATGTCACATTCACCTCATCCATAAACCATAAACTCATTAGTCAGTTAGAAAAATACCTCTAGAGCGGAGCAATACATGCATTATATAACATTAATATTCATTCATGTAGATTTGTCATGTTTTTATTACAGCCACTGTTTAAATGTCTATATTTCAAAACAAATTAATATTTACACTCCCGCTCAAAAGTTTGGGATCAGAATGATTTTTAATGTTTTTACAGGAGTCTCTTCTGCTCATCGAGGCTGCTTTTATTTGATTAAAAATACAGGAAAAACTGTAATATTGTGAAATAATATATAATATATTAATATATATTAAACTGTACTGTATTTCTGTGATGCGCAGCTGTATTTTCAGCATCATTACTCCAGTCTTCAGTGTCACATGATCTTCAGAAATCAGTATAATATGCTGATTTATCATCAGTGTTGAAACTGTTGCTGCTTAATATTTTTTTGGAAGCTGTGATGCTTTTTTTCAGGATTCTTTGATGAATAAAAAGTTACAAAGAAGAGCGGTTATTTAAAATAGAAATCTTTTCTAACAATATACACTAGTGTTCAAAAGTTTGGGGTCGGTACATTTTTATTCTTTCTTTTTTTGAAAGAAATTAAAACTTTTATTCAGCGAGGATGTGTTAGATTG